TTCGATGTTATTTAAAGACTCTTACTGTTCAGCCAAGCTGTAATGATGGTGTTAGGGTATTCTAAATGGTGTATAACATGTTGCTTTTATGGTTGTTGCAGTATTTTAAGTGGTGTATACTGTAGCATTTTTCTCTCGGGATGTTAGCGTGTCCTTAATGGTTGCTAGAGGGTTCTGTATAATGTGTAGCACATTGTGGTTGCTAGGGTGTTTTGAATGGTGTGTAGCATGTTGTGATGTGGTTGCAAGTGTATTCTAAGCAGTGTATTGCATGTTGCTTTCCAGTTGTTAGCTTGTTCTTAATGGTTGCTAGGGTGTTCCTAATGGTTGTTAGGGTATTCGGTATGGTGTGTAAAATGTTGTTTTGTCGTGGCTACTTGGTTGTTGTTAGAGTGTTCTTTATGGTTGCTAGGGTGTTTTGAATTGTGTGTTACATGTTTCTATGTGGTTGCTAGTGTGTTCTAAACAGTGAACAGCATGTTGCTTTCCAGTTGTTAGGGTGTTTTTAATGGTTGCTACGGTGTTTCTAATGTTTTTTGGGGTATTCTGACTGGTCTATAGAATGCTGATTTGTGGTTGCTAGGCTCTACTTGATTGTTGTCAGACTGTCCATTTTGGTTGCTAGGATGTTTTTAATGGTGTGGAGCATGTTGCTATGTGGTTGCTAATGTGTTCTAAGCAGTGTTTAGCATGTTTCTGTGGTTAGGGTATTCAGAATGGTGCATTGAATGTTGCTTTGTGGTTGTTATAGGCTCTTCTTGATTGTTGTTAAGAGTGTTCATTTTGGTTGCTAGGGTCTTTTGAATGGTGTACAGCATGTTGCTTTTTGGTTGCTAGGTTCTACTTGATTGTTATTAGAACATTATATCATGTTGCTAGTATTTTGAATGGTGTGTAGCACATTGCTGTGAGGTTACTAGGGTGTACTTAATGGTTGCTAGGTTGTTCTGAGGTTTGTTTAGCATATGCAATTGTTCTTAAAGGGACAGTACACCCCAAAATGAAAAATCTGTCACCATTTGCTCAGCATTTACTTCTTCAATACCAGTTTGAGTTTGTTGTTGTTGTTTTGCTGTAAATGTTTATTTTTATACTCTCCTTTTAATGTTCTTTTAGGATGTTCTGGTTGGAATTGATATGTAGTGCCTGATTAAATAAAGTTTTAGACTTGTCCCAGTAATTGACACGCTCTCGTTTACATGAGTGCCCTCTGCTGGAGTTCTGCTGGTCTGATTTGCCCTTGTGTCCTCATTCATCTCCCAGCACTTGCAGAGCTGTTTTTAGCCTGTTACTGTGTGCTGCTTATCTTCAGGTGAACAGACCTCACACGATCATTCCTCGACCTCCAGGCTCACAAATACAGAAGCACAGCAGTATATCGACTCATGGAAATCTATAATATATCCCTAGATCATTGTTCAACATTGCATAGAGTGCTGGATAGATAACCTGGTTATCTGTTACTATTACAAATTACATGATTAAAATGTAGTCATTAATATAATCCTGCAGTTTATGGTAATGTAATCTAACTACTTTTGGATTACATTCAGATATTGCTAGAATATCATTGTTCAATATTACATATAGAGAGCTGGATAGATTACTTATGAATTGTAATCCATTACTGATTACAGGTTACATTACCAAATTTGTAGTCACTAATGTAATCTCTATGGTAATGTAATCAAACTCATTTTGGATTACATTCAGATATCGCTAGAATATCATTGTTCAATATTACATACAGTATAGAGAGCTGGATAGATTACTTATGAATTGTAATCCATTACTGATTACAGGTTACATTACCAAATTTGTCGTCACTAATATTATCTCTATGGTAATGTAATCGGACTACTTTTGGATTACATTTCAATATCACTAGATAGTTGTTCAATATTGCATAGAGAGCTGGGTAGATTACTTATGAAATGTAATCTGTTACTATTACAAATTACATGAGATAAAATGTAGTTAATCTTGTTTATGGTAATGTAATCTGATTACTGTTGGATTACATTTAGATATCGTTAGACTGTTGTTCAGTATTACTTAGAGAGCTGGATTGATTACTTATGAATTGTAATCTTTTACTGATTACAAATTGCATGAAAAACATGTAGTGTGTAATATAATCTTGTTGTTTATGGAAATGTAATCTGATTACTGTTGGATTACATTTAGATATCGTTAGACTGTTGTTTAGTATTACTTAGAGAGCTGGGTAGATTACTTATGAATTCTAATCCATTACTGATTACAAATTACATGATAAAAAATGTAGTGCGTAATATAATCTTTTAGTTTATGTAATCTGACTTCCATTGGATTACATTTAGATATCACTAGATTGTTGTTCAATATTACATAGAGGGCTTAGTAGATTACTTATGAATTGTAATCCGTTACGGATTACAAATTACATTACCAAATTCGTAGTCAATAACATAATCTCTGTGCTATTGGAATCTGCCTCTATTGCATAGAGATCTTCGTTGATTACTTATGAATTGTAATCCATTACTGATTACAAATTACATGATAAAAATGTAGTTAGTCGTATAATCTTGTTTATAGTAATGTAATCTGATTACTATTGGATTACATTTAGATATCTATAGAACATTGTTCAGCTATTACATAGAGCTGGGTAGATTACTTTTGAAATGTAATCTGTTACTTTTACAAATTACGTGTTATAAATAATTGTAGTCAGTAATATAATCTTCTTGTTTATGGTAACGTAATCTGATTACTTTTGGATTACATTTTGAAATCATCAGATTGTTTTACCTAGAGAGCTGGGTAGATTACTAAATGTAGTCCATTACTGATTATAAATGAAACGACAAAGTTAGTAGTACCGTAGTTTATGGTAACGCAATTGGACTACTTTTGGATTACATTTAGATTATTTTTGTGCTATATAATGATGCAGGTTAATTTATTTACATATTAACCTAAAAAATTACTTAAGTAAACTAGCAGAACATGCAAAAAACAACTTTACAAAAATGTGAAAAGCAATAGAAATGCATAAGAAAAAAAAGATAAAAATAGAAATCATTGAATTGTGAACAACTTACTGCAGCACTGTAAATAATGTAATCAGTAATCCATAAAAGTAACTAGTCTGATTACGAGTGTTTCAAAAAGTAGATTACTATAATTATAAGTACATAATATTTCTAAACTGATAACATTAATCAGTTTTTGCATATCTGAAGAGTACTGGAAATCATAATCATCATAAAGATCATATTTTTTTGCAGCGATGATCTGTAAATTCTTTTATAATGCCCGTCTCATGAACAGCGTCTCTATTGCTGATAACAATGAACAAGCGTCTCAGTGTCTGTTTCTGCGTGTTTGACCGTGTTTTCCTCCCCGAACACCCACAGAACATCAAGACAGACTCGCAGCAAACTCAATCAGTCATTCGGGATGCACAAAGACATTTTCATACACACAGAGAATCAGCTTTCAGATGTTACTTCACATTTGATTTTTGGGACATGTTAGAGTAGCATGGCTTGGTTTGATGTAGCAGCTAAAAAATTGGGATTTCCTAGCATTGAGCTGTTTGTGAAGGTAAGACTTTCTTGCTGTAAAGATTTTTTTATGTATTATTTATTGATTCTTTTTATGAGAAAATGGCTTCACATTGAAGCAATTTACCTTTATTTTTTACAGTGGTCAAAGATGAGATGCTACATTTGGTGTCTATCTCAAATTATATTTATGAAAGTATAATTTTATATACAGTTGAAGGCAAAACTATTCGCCCTCCTGTGAAATTGTAGTTATTCCTAACAGAGTTATTATGTTTAACAGAACATTCTCTTCCTATTTTTTCCTTTAGTTTGACTGGGGAAAATTGTTTTTACATTTTTAAATATATTTTATAAAGTCAATATTATTAGCCCCCTTAAGATTTTTCTTTACCATTGGCTTTCTCACTCACTCAAGAATTATTAGTCTCACAAAATCCTGCAGGACTGAGTTATGTTATTAACAACATAAAATAATAAGTAAACATATTGTTTTGATAAATGATGGAACCTCTTGCAGACAGATATAAATAAAATAAAAAGAACTGAGCATTTAGGATCCTAAAATGGTTTATTTAAAAAGCCTTGAATTAATGAAGGGCGACAAGCTGGCTCGGTGGTTAGCACTGTGGCCTCACAGCAAGAACGTCACTGGTTTGAGTCCCGACTGGGTGAGTTGGCACTTCTGTGTGGAGTTTGCATTTTCTCCTCGTGTTGGCGTGGGTGTCCTCCGGGTGCTCCCGTTTCCCCCATAGTCCAAACATATGCGGTACAGGTGTGAATTGTGAGAGTGTATGGATGTTTCCCAGGACTGGGTTGCAGCTGGAAGGGCATCCGCTGTGTAAAACATATGCTGGAATAGTTGGTGGTTCATTCCGCAGCGGTGACCACTGATGAATAAGCGACTAAGCCGGAGGAAAATGAATGAATGAAATAAATGATTATTTTCCTAAATACACCTGGGCTTACATTTTAAAAATAGATGAATATCTTTAATATTGTGTCGTAGTAATTTTGTGTATAGTTGCTGAAATAAATGTCCTTGTTTTTCATATTTAGTTGTTTTTTATTGACTCGTCGTGAACTGATTTCTGGTTCTGAGCAGCATCTTGTGATGTTGTTTGTTCTGTAGCTCAACATTTAAGCTCATTTAACTCCTTAATAGTTTCTCATCAGTCATTGTGTGTTCAACAAGACTGCAAGTTTCCAGAGAAAGCTTTTGCAGATGAGCAAAATAATCTTGTTTTTACTTTTAAATAAGAATATTTAAATAAAACAAGACAATATTTGTTACTTGTCTAGAAAATGCTTCTTGACTTGAGAATTTGTAGATATTTGGACTAGGAATGAGATAAAAAAACTTAAAGCTAAAGCATTTTTGCTGCAATGCCATGGTATGACACTGTTTTTTTTTTCAGAATGTAAAATTGCACACAGTTTCCTGCATGTGTGTAGAGTTGGTTTGGGGAGACATTAAAACAATGGAAATCTTTGGAATGTCTTCATGCATAATAAATACTAACTGTGTGTGTGTTAGCCCTAAAGCCCTAAAGAACTGATAGCCCCGCCCTAAAGGACTGATAGCCCTGCCCTAAATAACTAATAGCCCCGCCCTAAAGGATTGATAGCCCCTCCCTAAAGTATTGATAGCCCATCCTTAAAGGACTAATAGCCCCTCCCTTAATGACTGATAGCCCCGCCCTAAATGATTGATAGCTCCACCTTAAAGGACTAATAGCCCCGCCCTAAATGATTGATTGCCCCTCCTTAAAGGACTGATAGCCCCTCCCTAAAGGACTGATTTCCCCACATTAAAGAACTGATAGCCCCAACACCTAAAGCATTGAGAGCCCCTCCTTAAATGACAGATAGCCCCTCCCTAAAGGACTGATAGCCCCTCCCTGAATGACTGATAGCCCCTCCCTAAAGGACTGATAGTCCCACCTTAAAAGACTGATAGCCCACCCTAAAGGAATGATAGCCCCTCCATAAAGGACTGATGGCCCCACCCTAAATGATTGAAAATACCTCCCTAAATGACTGATAGCCCCTCCTTAAATGACTGGTAGCCCCTCTTTAAAGGACTGATAGCCCCGCCTTAAAGAACTGATAGCCCCACCCTAAAGGATTGATAACCCTTCTTAAAAAACTGATAGCCCCGCCTTTAGAATCTTTGGAATGTTTTCATGCATAATAAATACTAACTGTGTGTGTGCGTGCGTGTGTGTGTGTGTGTGTGTGTGTGTGTGTGTGTGTGCAGGCGGGCAGTGATGGCGAAAGCCTCGGGAACTGTCCGTTCTCTCAGAGACTCTTCATGATCCTGTGGCTGAAAGGAGTGATTTTCAATGTTACCACTGTAGACCTGAAGAGGTAAAGCCCTTATAGGTCACTATAAACACATACACACACACACTTCAAATGACTCCCGCCAGTATAAACCACTCCTGCAGAAAAACTAAATAGGAGACATTATTCTGAACTCAATCATATAGTAATCATATTCATCCGTCAGAATTTGACTGAACTTCTTTAAGATGTCATGTTGGTTTAGTAAGTAGTAATAAAGATGTTACATTCAGTCAGGTTACTTATCTAAATATGGTGTCCAACAGTGCACTTATTCAATAAGTCCAAAAGTCCTAACAGTTTAAATGTAAATAATATCATATTTGATGAAGTTTGCATCAGACTGTTGTGTTCACTAATGTGAAGTTATTTGCAACTGTCTTTCTTGTATAAAGCAGTAATACAGTAATAAAGTCGTGCTTCATATAAGAAAGATTGTTTCAAATAGGAAAGTGATGTTTATGAATCAAACTTCATCAAATATGACACATATTGTTTGCATTTAAATAGCTTGGACTTCTTAACTTGTTGAATAAGGGCAGTTTTGGACACTAGTGTTCTTTATATGTAACTTGCAGAGTTTATTGAAATTTTTAATTGTCAATTATTAATAGATTTTCATTTTAATTGCACTTTTATTTTGTTGTGTTTTTAAATTTTATAATAGTTTATTTTCTTTATTTTTATTGTTTTAAGGTATTTTGTCTAGTTTTTTGCATTGTAATTTTTTATTATATTCAATTATTTATTTTATTTTATTTTATTTCAATTTATTTAGTTATTTATTTTAATAAATTCATAATTTAAAATAATTTAAAATAATTTAAAATAATTTTAATTTAATTTAATTTAATTTAATTCTTAATTTAAATTAATTTAATTTAATTTAATTAGTTTTTTGTTGGAAAGTCATCGAATTTGTAGGGTTTTTAAGATATTTTGTCTAGTATTTTTTTGTTAACATTGTAATATTTTTTATTTTATTTTAGTCTGAAAGTTGTCTAACTTTTAAGGGTATTAAAGTAGTTTTTTCTAGTATTTTTTTTTTTTACATTTTAACATCTAAAAATATATTTTATTTTTATTTATTTTATATAAATTTATTTTATTTTACCTTGAAAATCATCTAATTTTAATGGTTTTACAGTATTTTTGTCTAGTATTTTATTTAACATTGTAATATTTTTATTTTATTTTATTTTAATCTGAACATTTTTAAGGGTTTTAAGGGATTTTTGTCTATTATTTTCCTAACATTTTAAAACAAATTTATATATTTTTTAAATCGTATTTTAGTCTGAAAGTCATGTAATTTCTAATGGTTTGTGGTAATGGTTAAAGGTTTTTGTCTTGTATTTTATTTAACATTGTAATATTTGAATTCAATTTTATTTAAGATGGTCTTTTTTTTAATTTTTGTTTGATATGTTTTAACTTTTAAAAATATATATACTTAATTTTATTTTCAGTCATTTTAATAGCTTTAGTTCACAGTAGCAGCACTGGCGATGGTTCTGTTTGTCGATCTGTTTCTCACAGAAAGCCGGCAGATTTGCAGGATCTCGCTCCTGGAACAAACCCGCCTTTCATGACCTTCAACGGAGAGGTTCTGGTGGACGTCAACAAGATCGAGGAGTTTCTGGAGGAGCGACTGGGCCCGCCACAGTACTCTAAACACTCTTTTACTTGTTATAATGTCACATCTCACTTCAGATACATGTTGCATAATTTAAACTGTCTTTTTTTTTATAGATATCCAAAATTAGCAACCAAGCATCCAGAATCAAACACCGCAGGAATAGATGTGTTTGCCAAGTTTTCTGCCTACATCAAGAACCCTCGAAAAGAAGCAAATGAGGGTGAGTTTTATTGAACATTGAGAGGAGAGGCTCTAGATGCATCCCAAATCACATACTCATGTCCTGGGGCAAAGGACAAAACTTGAAATCTTAATTTGCAGTGTGTATTTTGCTAGAGCACATTGTTTGTCTTAAAGTAAATAATTCTTAAGTTAATCCACTGGAAAAAAAATGTTTGGTAATCTTTAATCAAAATCTGACCATCTGCTTTTGCCCACAGTCCTTCTCTGATTGGCTGAAAAATGCTTAGCCACGCCCCTTCAACTGTTAATGTGCTGATGAGAGCAAAAATAAACCCCGCCCCCTACTCAATATTCCATTGCAGTTTACACAGACTTTAAAGTCGACATGAAACAGAAGATAAGATTGTCCTTTTTCCTCTATCATGACGCCCACTTGAAATAGTCCTTAAATGAGAAAAAAGTAGGGGGGTGCATTATTTTGGGAACCGTTTGGATTGTTGAAAGATAAACGCTGCTAACAAAATGAAGTAAGATTGACAAATGGATCAAACCACGAGACACACCCTGATAGACCCTCCCTAAAGTAGTCCCAGCCTAAAAGATTGATAGCCCAGCCACAAAGGATTAATAGCCCCGCTCTAAAGGACTGATAGCTCCGCCTTAAAGGATTGATAGCTCTGCCATTAATGAATGAAAGCCCTTTCCTGAAGGACTGATAGCTCCGCCCTAAAACAATGATATTTCTGCACTACAGGATTTGCTAGCCCCACCTCAAAGGATTGATAACCCTGCCCTAAAGGACTGATAGCCCTGCCCTAAGGGACTGAAATTTGAAATCTGAGTGTACTGTAGCCCCACCCTAAAGCACAGATAGCTCTGCACTAAAGGATTGATTGCTCCGCCCTAAAGCACTAATAGCTCTGCACTTTACATTTACATTTACATTACATTTAGTCATTTAGCAGACACTTTTATCCAAAGCGACTTACAAATGAGGACAAGGAAGCAATTTACACAACTAAGAGCAACAATGAATAAGTACTAAAGGCAAGTTTCAGGTCTGTAAAGTCTAAGAAGGGAAGTGTTAGTAGTTTTTTTTTTTTTTTTTTTTTTGTACAATTAGTGTGATATTCAAAGAGGCAATTGCAGATTAGGAAGTGAAGTGGAGACTAAATAGTTGAGTTTTTAGTCGTTTCTTGAAAATAGCGAGTGACTCTGCTGTTCTGATGCAGTTAGGGAGTTCATTCCACCAACTGGGCAGATTGAGCGTGAGCGTTCGCGAAAGTGATTTTTTCCCTCTTTGGGATGGAACCACGAGGCGACGTTCATTCACAGAACGCAAGTTTCTGGAGGGCACATAGATCTGCAGAAGTGAGTGCAGATAAGAAGGTGCTAGGCCAGAAGGCACTTTGTAGGCAAACATCAGAGTTTTGAATTTGATGCGAGCAGCAACTGGCAGCCAGTGCAAACGGACTAGCAGCGGAGTGACATGTGCTCGTTTAGGTTCATTGAAGACAACCCGTGCTGCTGCATTCTGGAGCAGTTGAAGAGGCTTGATAGAGTTAGCTGGAAGCCCAGCTAGTAGAGAGTTGCAGTAATCCAGTTTGGAGAGAACAAGAGCTTGAACAAGGAGTTGAGCTGCATGTTCAGATAAGAAGGGTCGGATCTTTCTGATGTTATAGAGTGCAAATCTGCACGATCGAGCAGTTCTAGAAATGTGGTCAGAGAAGTTTAGTTGGTCATCAATCGTTACTCCAAGGCTTTTCACCATTTTGGATGCAGTAATGGTTGCCCCATCCATCTGGATTGAAAAGTTATGGTGTAGAGTCGGGTTGGCAGAAACTATAAGCATTTCCGTTTTTGCGAGGTTCAGCTGAAGATGATGATCTTTCATCCAGTGTGAAATATCCAACAGGCAGGCTGAGATACGAGCTGGAACGGAGGGATCATCAGGATGAAAAGAGAGGTATAGCTGGGTGTCATCAGCATAGCAGTGGTAGGAGAATCCATGTCTCTGGATGACTGGTCCTAGAGATGATGTGTAGATGGAGAAGAGAAGTGGCCCAAGAACAGAGCCTTGAGGTACCCCAGTGTTTAGATGCTGTAGGTTGGACACCTCTCCCCTCCAAGACACCCTGAATGACCTGTCAGAGAGGTAAGATCTGAACCATTGTATAACAGTGCCCGCAACGCCCAGTGACTCAAGCGTAGATAGCAGGATCTGGTGGTTGACAGTGTCAAAAGCAGCTGACAAGTCCAGCAAAATGAGGACTGATGATTTAGAGTCTGCTTTAGCCAGTCTGAGATCCTCCACGACCGAGAGCAGGGCAGTCTCAGTTGAGTGGCCTTTCTTAAAGCCGGATTGCTTGTTGTCCATGAGATTGTTTTGAGTAAGAAAGTCCAGGACTTGATTGAACACTACTTTCTCCAGAATCTTGGCCATGAATGGAAGCAGGGATACTGGTCTGTAGTTTTCAAGTAGCGTATGGTCCAGGTTGGGTTTCTTTAGCAGTGGGGTTACCCTAGCCTGCTTAAATGTAGTGGGGAATAAACCAGAGTCAAGAGATGTGTTAATTATGTGAGTCAGTGTTGGTATGACTGCAGGAGAGATGGCTTGCAAGAGATGAGAGGGAATGGGATCGAGTGGACAGGTGGTTGCATGGCTAGATAGCACAAGTTTGGACACCTCAGACTCAGAGAGCTGAGAAAAAGAGGTGAGTGTGTGTGGTGTTGGTGTTGTATCTTGCGTGTTTGTTGTAGGTGCAGCAAATTGAGCACTGATTTTTGCAGTTTTGGTGCAGAAGAATGTAGCAAAGTCATCAGTAGTAAGTGTGGAGGATGCGGGTGGAGGAGGAGGATAGAGGAGGGATGAAAATGTTTTAAAAAGTAGGCGAGGATTAGTGGCATTGTTGATTTTCAGACGGTAATACGTCTGCTTTGCAGAAGTAACCTCAGCTGAGAAAGAGGACAGAAGAGTTTGGTATGTTAAGAGATGTGCAGGATTTTTAGTTTTCCGCCAAATTCTCTCCGCAGCCCGAAGTTTTGAGCGATGCTCACGGAGAGCATCTGAGAGCCAGGGTGCAGGAGGACTGGCACGGGCTGGCCTGGATGCAAGAGGACATAATCGGTCTAGACATGATGCTAGTGTGGAGCAGAGTGTATTAGTGGCACTGTTCGAATCAAGTGCAGTGAGTTTGCGAGATGGAGGAAGAGAGTCTGAAACAATGGTGGATAGTCTGTTGGGTGAGAGAGATCGTAGGTTTCTGCGAAAGGTAACCAGTGTTGGAGTGTGTGGCGGCTCAGGAGTAATGTGGATGTTGAGAGACAGAAGGAAATGATCAGATATTTGTAGTGGAGTTACTATTGTTTGATCAGTGAAGCAGTGTCGTGTGTAAATAAGGTCTAGCTGATTACCTGATTTGTGGGTAGCAGAAGTAGGTGCTCTTTTTAGGTCAAAAGAGGCAAGCAAAGTCTGAAAGTCTGCAGCTTGCGGTTTGTCAACGTAGATGTTGAAGTCACCTAGCACCAATAAGGGAGTGGCAAAATTAGAAAAAGATGAGAGAAGAACATCCAGTTCATCTAGGAAGTGACCTAATTTACCTGGTGGGCGGTAGATGACAACCACATTTATGTAGAAGGGGTGGATAATGGTGACTGCATGGAATTCAAAGGAGCTGATTGTTGGCAGGGACGGTATCAGAGTAAATTTCCATTCTTTGGAAATTAGTAGTCCAGTCCCACCCCCTCTCCCTGTCTGACGAGGAGTGTGGGAAAAAGAGAAATTAGCAGAAAGAGTAGCATGTGTAGCAGTGTCCTCCGGCCTCAACCAGGTCTCAGTTAGAGCCATGAGATTATAGTCAGAATATGTAGCTATGGAGGTAATAAAATCAGCCTTGTTAACAGCTGATTGACAGTTCCAGAGGCCCACGGAGAGAGAGAGTTGTGAAATAGTAGATACATGTATTGAACGAAGGTTGTGAGGATTACGCCTGCAGCGTACCTCCCGTGTTTTGCGAGTGTTAGTAACAACAGGAATTAGAAAACACATAATAAAAGTGCACTGACAACAAAAAATAAGTGTAAAGTAAAACAATACAGTAAAGTACTCAAGTGCTTTGTCGGTGTCTTTGCTCGGTGGAGTCGCGCAGGTAGAGTCGATGGTCTTTACACTCGTCGGTCTTAGTCGCGCAGGTAGAGTCGATGGTCTTTACACTCGTCGGTCTTCACACGAGGCGGTCTTCACACGAGGCTGCCGCGACCGCTGCCGCGGTGAACTAGTTGTTTATATAACCCCAAAGCACTAGCTGATTGAATTCAGCTGGACACGCCTCGAGAGTCAAAACAAGGGCCGAAACTGAGGCGGACGACGCGAAACCGCGTCTGCGTTCGCTGCACAAGCTCTTATAGTAACCAAGGAAACAGTGGCTAAACAACTTCTAGTATTATACACAACTGAAAGCAAGTTTAAATGTCCTACAACTTTACACAAACAGCTGGAAACAAGTCCTCAAACCATACACAACAACTGAAACAAATCTTAAATGTACTTACAGGCTGCTGTTCTAGATGCTGCTAAAGTGCTTCTCCTGCCGACTAATGCTACCGTGCTCACTATATAGTGGTTACCTGGCGTTTGGACACGCCTCCCGAGTCAAAACAAGGGCCGAAACTGAGGCGGACGACGCGAAACCGCGTCTGCGTTCGCTGCACAAGCTCTTATAGTAACCAAGGAAACAGTGGCTAAACAACTTCTAGTATTATACACAACTGAAAGCAAGTTTAAATGTCCTAAAACTTTACACAAACAGCTGGAAACAAGTCCTCAAACCATACACAACAACTGAAACAAATCTTAAATGTACTTACAGGCTGCTGTTCTAGATGCTGCTAAAGTGCTTCTCCTGCCGACTAATGCTACCGTGCTCACTATATAGTGGTTACCTGGCGTTTGGACACGCCTCCCGAGTCAAAACAAGGGCCGAAACTGAGGCGGACGACGCGAAACCGCGTCTGCGTTCGCTGCACAAGCTCTTATAGTAACCAAGGAAACAGTGGCTAAACAACTTCTAGTATTATACACAACTGAAAGCAAGTTTAAATGTCCTACAACTTTACACAAACAGCTGGAAACAAGTCCTCAAACCATACACAACAACTGAAACAAATCTTAAATGTACTTACAGGCTGCTGTTCTAGATGCTGCTAAAGTGCTTCTCCTGCCGACTAATGCTACCGTGCTCACTATATAGATTACTTAAAGATTGCTAGCCACGCCCTAAAGGACTGATAACTGTATTAAAGAACTGATAGCCCCACCCTAAAGGACTGATAGCTCCACCCTAAAGGACTGATAGCTCCGCCCTAAAAACTCTACACTAAAGGATTTGCTAGCCCCACCTCAAAGGATTGATAGCCCAACTCTAAAGCACTAATAGATCTGTACTAAAGGACTGCTAGCTCCCCGCTAAAGGACTAAAAGCTCTGCACTAAAGCACTGCTAGCTCTGCATTAAAGAGCTGGAAGCCCCACCTTAAGGGTCTGATAGCTCCACCCTAAAAGCTCTGCACTTAAGGATTTGTTAGCCCCACCTTAAAGGATTGATAACCCTGCCCTAAATGACTGATAGCCCCGCCTTAAAGCACTGATAGCTCTGCACGAATAGCCCCGCCCTAAAGGACTGCTAACTATAAAGAACTGATAGCCCCACCCTAAATGACTGATAGCTCCGCCCTAAAAGAATGATAGTTCTGCACTAAAGGATTTGCTAGCCCCACCTCAAAAGATTGATAACCCCGCCCTGAATGACTGATAGCCCTGCCCTAAGGGACTGAAATTTGAAATCTGAGTGTACTGTGGGTAAAAGTAGTGAAGGAATGTAGTGAATGAAGTCGGACACCACTACTAAATTTATATATCTATAGGGTGACAGGAGCAGTTTTAAAGCACATCTTTGACATGACCTTCACAACCAGACAATGCAGCACCTGCGTGGTTAACTGTTGTTTGTGTGTGTGGAGGTCTGGAGAAAGCTCTGCTGAAGTCTCTGAAGCGGCTGGACGAGTATCTGCAGACGCCGCTGCCTGAAGAAATCGACGCCGACAGTCTGGAGGATCCTGGAGCTTCAACACGCAGCTTTCTGGATGGGGACGAGCTCACGCTGGCCGACTGCAACCTGCTGCCCAAACTGCACATCATCAAGGTGGCCATTTCTCTCTCTCAATTCAATTCTCAAAAGAATTGCTTTATTGGCATGACTGTACATGTTCAAGATTGCCAAAGCTAGGAAGACAAATATAAAACTACAATCAAATATCAAAATAAAATAATAGGAACAAAATATCCAGCCTGATTTTACGAGAAAACTTAGGTATTTTACGTTTTGCCAGTTTAGTGGCTATGAATCCGTCATATGAAATTGTACGATTTTAAAATGGAGGCGTGGCACCTAACCCCACCCCTAAACCCAACCGTCATTGAAGCAAATCGTACTAAATTTAATAAATTACATTGTACAAAATCATACGAATTAGCCACTAAGTCAAAAAGTTACGAATTGCCGTGAAATTGTGTTTAAATATCATAATAGTTTAAACTTAAATAAGCAATGTAAGAAATAGAATGTGTGAGCATTTCAAACCACAGTGTTTAACATAAAAACACACACACAGACAAAGCGTCACAGTGGTAGACTGTAGGGAAGCATACAGTAATACACACATGACGCACACAGGAGCACCGCTAGGGGGCGTCAGCTTCAACGCTTCCCATTCACGTTGGCAAAATGTTTAAGATTGCCAAAGCTAGGATGACAAATATAAAACTACAATCAAATATCAAAATAAAATAATAGAAACAAAATATCCAGCCTGATTTTACAAGAAAACAGTTTAGTGGCTATGAATCCGTCTTACGAAATTGTACGATTTTAAAATAGAGGCGTGGCACCTAACCCCACCCCTAAACCCAACCGTCATTGGGGGATGAGCAGATCGTACTAAATTGTATGAATTACATTGTACGAAATCATACAAATTAGCCACTAAATCAAAAAGTTACGAATTGCCGTGAGATTGTGCTTAAATATCATAATAGTTTAAACTTAAATAAGCAATGTAGGAAATAAGAACGTGTGAGCATTTCAAACCACAGTGTTTAACATAAAAACACAAACAGACAAAGCGTCACAGTGGTAGACAGTAGGGAAGCATACAGTAATACACACAT